TGAGAGCGCACAGAGAGCTCCTGCCAATGTCAGGTCGCAGAGAGAGCGCAGTGAGAGCGCCGTCAAGTGGAATGAGGGTATTATGGATATTGATGGGCTGTTACAGCCATCCGTTCCGGCTGAAGACATCCGTCTTTCCCGCTGATGAGGTGCCGTTTCCGTGTGTTAAAACATCCTCATGGGGAGAGAAATGTTTCGACACCCTGCGGGTATCAGTAGGCTCGTGGGTGGGTGGTAGCCTCCGTAGCAGGCTTAGAACTGGGGGTTTGGTGGTCTTCGGCTGTTTTCTTATTAGCCCAGTTCAAAAAACGGGGGTAATTCAACCAGGCCAGCTATGTTGTCTATATGCAGTCAGAAAATAGCTCATTAAAGCTCCCAAAGACCCTGAAGACCCCCAAAACCCCCAGTTTTTGGCATGCTGTGGAGGCTAAGTGGGTGGGTGCCGATCCAAGCTGACCGAAAACATACTCTCATGTCAGTCAGGCCACACTGACCTAATTTTATAGATGGCATCTTCTGAAACCCCAAAAGCTAAGGCGAGCGGGTAAAAAGTCTAGCCAAAACAAATACAGATAAAGCACAGGAATACAAAGCTGGCATTGTGAATTTGCGGTTGTACATGACTACGTTTACAACAAGCCGGCACATGCTGGCCTTTTGTGGCATTTATGAGTCGGCAACCGTACTAAGTTCTATAGTTATGAGGAGCCTCGGTAGCCTGGGTGCCGTCCTCCGTAGTTACTGCCGGCTCTCTAGCTGTTGTCTGCTGCTCTCTGTAGCCATAATGCACTACGGAGGCTGGCACCCAGGCTTCAGAATTTTTCTTTAGAACAGGCGAAAATCAATGTTTGCGCGGATGTCGTCCATAAAATTAAATTACTGTGACCTCAGATAGTTTTTCCGTTGACTCAGCGGTAAATCTGGGTAGGGAGACAGAGAGAAGACGGAGGGGGTCAGGTTAGCGCCGGGAGGGTGTGTGGGTGATTACACCGCGTCTGGTGGCTAAATCCCCACGCGTATTACCGCGCTGGGAGCGGTGTGCGATTGATGGTCGTGTCATGCAGACTTTTTCTTGTCACGTTGATCCAGTTACCCTGTGCTAGGTGACAGCGAATTCACACAGTTGTGGTTCTAGAGATATTGCTTGTCGGGACAATAGTTTCCGAATCAGTCTGGCGGACGACTGTGGTGAAAATTAACGTCGCTTTCACTAGTTTAGCACCTTCAACAACTCTTAACTTAGATGGAAAGCGATGAAACAGCTACAGCAGGAATTTCAGCACCAAGGACAGGTCCGGATACTACCTGAGCGGTCCCGTCGGCAACCTTTCCGGAGAAAAACCGGATTTACCAAGTTAGAACAACAAAAGTGTACCAAACTCAAGATAATAAGTCCGCATAATGTAAAAGAAATGCAACATAATGCTATTTTTGACACCAAGATCCCCAGCCGTAAAAGTGATGATACAACTATAACAGGAATTTCAGCACTGTGTAACTGTGGGTCGATGGCAGTTTTGAAAACCTATCCAGTTGCTTGAGTAACTCATCGATCCGTCAAATTCCGGACAACACCTGAGCGGCCCCGTTAGCGAGCTTTCCGGAGAAAAAACGGATTTATCACGCCAGAAGAACAAAGCGCTCTCGCGACCGAAGCCCATCCGACAGGACCCTATGAGTATGAGAGATGTGGTATCGTCCAGGGATCGCATAACGGCTGACTGATGATAAAGGCGGGAAAAGGGCTCAGAAATGCAGAGTAACTGGACAGGTTTTGAAAACTGTCAGACGTTTTAACTAGCATCCACTACTTCTTGTCAGTAACTGTTAGTGGATGCTACTAGAAACGCCTGACAGTTCTCAAAACCCATCCGTCAAATTCCGGACAACACCTCAGCATTTCCGTTGGCAACCTTTCCGAAAAAAAAACGGATTTATCACGTCAGAAGAACAAAGCGATCTCCCGCGACCGAAGCCCAGCCGGCAGGACCCTGCGGGAGACACGGCAGGACGGGAGGCGAGTTGGTATCGTCCAGGGATCGCATCCCTGCTGATGGATGATATAGGCGGGAAAAGGGCTCAGATCTGCAGACGAGAAGACGCGCCCTGGGGCCAATTTAGCGGCTCCGTGTCGGTAAGGACCGCAGGCACACGCGATGATGTATATTTATCTGCTCACGAACCGCAGGCACACGCTATGATGAACATTTATTTGCTAGCGAACGACGACATTAGTGGAGAGACAGTCGGGCGAGGTGTTACTGCACGGAGACATAAGGCCACACCGTCTTGATTTTATGGATATCATCCGCGCGCGCGTTGATTTTCGTCTGTTCTAAAAAAAAAAGGTCACGTCCTCCGAGTCTCTGAGGCCTGGCTCTAGGCCTGGGTAGTCCATGGTAGTTAGCGACAATACGGAGCCGGTGGTAACTCTGGAGGATGGCACCCAGGCTACCGAAGCTCCAGTGCCTAATAAAAAATTCCAGCATGTGCCGGCTTGTAGTACACGTCGCAAATTCACAATACCAGCTTTGTATTCCTGTGGTTTAGTAGCTTATTTATTTATTTCTTTATTCGCCCGCGCGCACCAGTTTGGGGGTCTTCAAAGGATGTCATCCATAAACTTAAGCAGTTGTGGCCTAACGCCTGTTGGAGATGGCGGGACCACATTTTTCCGGAGATCAGAGTTCCGGTGTAACACATCAGTTTCGTTACAAACAACATTTATCTACGGCATTTGCCTACACGGGGCTGTAAATAAAGCTGAGATGTGCGACTCGGTCATTGGCCTGTAGGGTTAGGCCTGTACTTTAACTGGTAAAAAGCTTCGTTTAAAGTCACGCACCGGGGCTGAGCGATATCCGCCATTGGGTACGGCGAAAAAGTACAGGGTACGGCACGAATTACCGGGTACGGTTTGAAATTTTCGCGGGTACGGCAACGAATTTCCGGGTACGACACGAATTACCGGGTACGGTTTGAAATTTTCGCGGGTACGGCACGAATTTCCGGGTACAGCACGAATTACCGGGTACGGCACGAATTACCGGGTACGGCACGAATTACCGGGTACGGCACGAATTACCGGGTACGGCACGAATTACCGGGTACGGCACGAATTTCCGGGTACGGCCAGAATTTTTGAGCGGGTGCGGCTTGAATTTCCGGGTACGGCTTGAAAGGAGTTTGATGGGGGTGAAAGTGTTCTGTTGTAAGTAAAACAGAGATGTGTTGCTCGGTCATTGGCCTTTATGATTAGGTGTTATACTGTATTTAACAGGTACAAAGCGACGTGTAAAGTACGTGGTGCCGCTAGTCTGTTGTACATAAAACAGGGATATTCGACTCGGTCATTGGCAAGTAAGAATGAGGTGATATTTTGATGGCAATTCATCTGTGTTGGTCAGTGGTAGTAATCATTGTACAATGCTGAAAATCATCAAAATTTCAACGACCACTATCGCCTTCATCAGGATAGTTGAAGATCTTATCCTCGTGATCTCTTCTGTTGGAATAAAGTTCAGCATTGTACAACGAAGTGTTCTACTGTACTTGACAGGTACAAACCGTCCGTTTAAGATGCGTGGTCCCACTAGTCCTGCGGATCACCCAACTTTGTGAAAGCTACGATAAGGAGCTTCAGGCTTTCTCATGAAACAAACAGACCCCCCCAAAAAACTTCTAATATTTGATCTTTTGATCTGATTGATCTTCAAATCAGACGCTAAACGCCGCCATACTGTACCCCTCCAGGGACGCTCCTTCTGAACATTAAAAGGAAACCTCCCCTGCTGACTCCTGTTTTGTGCAATTCATAAAAACAAACTTCAAACACTTCCAGCTCCCAAGGTGTCCACATGAAAAGACTCTCAAAGAAAAGTGGCGGGCCGTTTCCTGCCGACTGATGTTGAACACTTCAAAGACTCGGAGTATAAAATGCCCGCCGGAAAGTACTTAAAGCTAACCGCTTATCAAAAACAAACCTAACCGCCTGCTCACTTTCCGCAGCGTACTCAAACGTCTGCCAGGGTTTGTGGTGGGAATTGATAAACCACAAGTAGACGTCTAAAATCCACAACGGTCTGAAAACGCGTATGTATCATCCAAGCTCCCAAATTCCCAAATCCATTTGCTTAAGAGCATCCCCGCTAAGAAGATAGATATGGAATATTGGCGTTTGAGAAAATAACGCAAAGGAGCAGCTTGGATTTACTGTACTTCTTACTTCGTTTGAAAGTTCTGCTCAAGATTTACACGGGTTTATCTGTTTTAAAGATACTGCTACTTTTTCTTACCTCGTCCACGGGTAGTCTTTAGGGCCTGTCAGTTGAAAGAATCGCCTTCTCCATTCCTCTCGGTCTTGAAAGACCACCTCATCCTTAAGTCTGTACTTTGTACTGTAGAAAGATAATAAACATCGATGATGCTTTTGGGCAAAGAAGGTATCGCGACTGACTAATCCACGAACGTATCTTTGGACGTACACATCATCTGACAGTTTCTCATATCTATCTAAATTTATTCCTTGATACAATAAACAATATCATCAGCCATATACGTGTCATATTTTGTAATCTTTGTGATAAAGAATTTGGCAGTTGAATTCTCTAGCACAATATCTATAATTAGATGAAAAAGGTTAGGAATACACCCACACGCTCTCGCTTACTGAAGTCTTAACGTGCTATGGGCACAGTTCAAAAGAGACATACTACGGCTGACTAAAGTACTGCAATACGAGTTCTAGCAAACCTGTTTGTTGCCGCTTCCCGAAGTCACATACGTAGTATTACTATATAATAGAATAACACACCTTAGAATCAGCCCACGTTGTCTACAAATTGAAACGTGCTGACACCACAACACACCAGCCACTCAGACGCATTACAGCAGGCTGTATGATCGTCTTGCTGGGTGCCACATAGCTATGTTATACTGTTGACATAGGGACATTGCTTGACAGTGTTACATCTACAAATCAAAGACACAAACACACAAAGTGCTTTGTACAAGTACAAGTCTTTATCAAGGTATTCCTCATTGAATAAGTACCAATACAAAAACTTTATCCTTACACTTTGACCACGTGTTTAAATTAACATCAAGTCAACATCCAGTACAATATTTGTCAAAGGTTTCCTTGTTTCTTAGGTTTTTCAAAAGACAGAAGAAAAAACTGTTACTTTGAATCAGGTTTACAAATTTAACCAAAACTAGAACATAACATTTTGCAAAGCAAATGCATAATGTTTACCTTCACATGATCTAGCCTATCAATCTAGTGCTTTTCATTCTTACTCAAAGACATTCACATACATGTACATACATAGTGCCCATCCCCTCCTACAGCTAAAATCTTAATATACAAGGAATTTCAAGAAACATTCTCCTAGACCTATCACATTTTGAGCCTTGTACACACTATGACTTTATTTATTAGGAATGTTGCAAGATCACACAATGTATAGTGTCTTCTAAAGAGTAAGGGTCCAAATGGGGTTTGACATGATGCTTTGTTTGGATGTGAGGCTCTACATGGGGTAGTTGAGCATGACGTCTTGTCTGGCCAACTCCAACAACATAGGGTCGTCGAAGAACTTGTTGATACTGACATCCTCACTCAGACCCTACAGGATAGAAAATGAGTATTCATCAATAAAACAATCTTGCTTTTTATGAAATAAAAAAAGTGTTGTTATAATGGACAAGACATAACTTCATTGGGAATCGGTAATGAACAAGCTTTCAAATGATACATAAAACAATGAAACAGACATAGTGTCAAAGATCTGCGATTGACCAAAGAAATGGGTAATGGCCTGGATTTTTATTTGACTGTTACCACCTTTGAAGTATAAAAGCATCAGTGGCAATGGTTTCTGAACAGGCTTTAGTGTGATGTTTAATGTTATCTGCACTGGTCATGGCATACAGAAAAAATATATAATATTATTAATTTCAAGCCCAATGGTGTGTCCTGTACCTTTCTTCGTCGAGTTTTGATCATGAACTCCCGAGCCAGATGTGTGGCAGGCTGGGGCTCCAGAGGTCGGATCACAATACTCTTGTCCAGGGGGTCACCTGGCACAATCTGGGGGGAGGAAACAGGAAAATGTTTATGAGGAAATCAAATGTACCTTTTGTGTTAGAACGAAAGTTTTAACTATGAGCTTATATGGACAAGGTATATGCATAAATAGTACAAATTCCTGGAAAATTTGTAAAAAAACAATTCCAACCTGTTGTCACATACAACTCATTCTTTTCTAGAACTATCACAGAGTGCAATGTTAAAGGTTAGGTGTAACACATCGATCGGTGTAATGTAGCCAGCTGCCGCCGCCCCGCGTGCCTGCAAAGCCGGTGTGTTATACCCAAGGGTGGTTATACTGGCTAAACAGAATAGTATTACGTGTACAGATAATATCAGGCTTGCCTCTCAGGCATCACCAAAACCACACAAAAAAAGAACCAACCTGCCAGTGGTGGAAGACAGAGAGACAGAAAGCCTGGCCCTGTGTGTGTGTGTGTGTGTGTGTGTGTGCGTGCCCTGTGTGTGTGTGTGTGTGTGTGTGTGTGTGTGTGTGTGTGTGTGTGTGTGTGTGTGTGTGTGTGTGTGTGTGTGTGTGTGTGTGTGTGTGTGTGTGTGTGTGTGTGTGTGTGTTTGTGTGTGTGTGTATGTGTGTGTGTGTGTGTGTGTGTGTGTGTGTGTGTAACATACCTGCCAGTGGTGGAACACAGACAGACAGAAGGCCTGGCCCTGTGTGTGTGTCCGTAAGTCCGTTTCGAACCCAAAGGAGTCGATGGCGGGTATGAAGGCCTTGATGGTGTAGAGGGGGGAGCCTGGGATTGGTGCATCCTGGGTTACATGACCTCTCCGCCGAGCCAGGACCTGAGTAGGACAAAGAGACAAAATCTGTCAGTTAAAGTGTTGATGACGTCTAAGATAAGAATATGAATAGCTGGTGAACATCTAGCCAAAGTTGACAAACAAACATAAATCTAGCACATCGGCAGAATGTACTGCACCTGTGCCAATTCTTGAACGTAACATGTATAGCACTTCTATAGAACGTAAGATCGTAGTTGTGCATTTAAGAATGATATCCCATCTGTAGCTTTCAAATATTGTGTTGGATATCCAGCTGGCAAAATTCTGATGCAACGTTGATCAAACGTCCAACAGAAACTGTAGTTTCGTGGAGATGCAGTACATTTGCTGACATTCTAACAAATCTGCACCTACCGTGTACACAGCTGACACACAGTCTGCCGGTGCCTGTGAGTGAGTGAGTGATTGAGTGAGGTAGTGAGAGAGAATGAGTGAGTGAACCCACCGTGTACACAGCTGACACACAGTCTGCGGGTGCCTGTGCCTCCACGAAGAGGTACGGCTCCATGAGGCGTGGTGTCGCCATGAGAAACGCGGAGTACGCGACACGGCGCGCCGTCGGGATGATCTGCCCGCCGCCCCGGTGAAGCGGCTCCCCCGCGATGACGGCGTCCAGGATCTTAAACTTGACGTTCCTGATGGGCTCGTCGCAGAGCGGGCCTTCCCTGGTCCCCCACTGGAAACCCTGGGAGTTGGAAGAAAGATATTCATTGTACTTTTATAAGTTACACAAGTTACAGGATCAGTACAGAGACAAATGTTGGGCTACCATCAAGCCTCAGCATTAGAGTGCAAGCACATCTAACCCTTGTTACGGGGAACAACAGATGTTAAACCGAAAAGAGAGAGAGAAGGAAACAGTACAGGCCAGTGTGGTAAAGTTCTATGTACAGTAACAGTAATACAAAATTACAGTTCAAACTTACCAGTACTCAGCCACCCAGAACAATGCCACTAGGCTGTTTGAGTGTAGGGGACATACTGTGGTCATGTCTTGGGGATTCAATGAGTGGCTTGCACCATGAAAAGTTGTCATTCTGTGCCTAACCACCAACACTATCCAGTGAGAACCCTGCACTGTACTGTTTGAACTGTACAATTCTTTCTTCATGAGAAATTCAAATTGGCCGCTCTACTAACTTGTACAATGCCGTCTGCATGCACAAACCCACAACTCAGCCAACCAAAACAATACTCCCGTACTAACCTGTACAATACTGTCCTTGACTGAGTTCAGTAGTCCCTTGTCCACCTCTGACGGCAGTGTATCATCCACCAGGATGTTAGGTCCGGTGTTATCCGGCCCGAAGGCCCAGATGGATCGAGCGGCCAGAAGATCCCAGTCATACTTAGTCTGGAAGAACTCTCCCAGACGCTTCCGGTTCCAGGTGATCCGAACCACCTCGTTCTCGATGTCCTCCGCCAGGCCTTTCTCCAGGGGCTCAGCAATCATGGTGATCTTGTTCCTGTGGATTTGGGAGGATGTTAATAGATATTAAGTTGTAATTACAGGACTTGAAATCCTTTTTTCTGTATCGCCACACATTGAAAATTATCTGCACCAGACAAATTTTACCTGCATCACTCAAAATTTAGGAAATATGGCTTATTTTAAAAACTGTAACAGTTCAGAAATTATCCGTAAATAGTTTTTATTCAGAAACTATTTCCATTATTTCTTTTATAGTCTTCATTGGTGGGATCTAGTTTATGGACCAGTGCAGGTAGACATAAGAAACACTGACACTCCAATTTTACCTGCATTTGCAGAAGATATCTCAAGAAAAGGTAAGTTTTCCTTCTGATAAGTTGAACATGATTAAAGTCAATATCTACACAGTAGTGAAGACCCACCTTTTGTTTGGTGTCTCTGCAAAACACTTGAGTGACGACGTCTCCACAACTGTCTCACAGAAGGCCACAACCGGGTCTGCCACCTTAATGTCTGGTAACAAAATAAAACAGTTCTACAAACATAATAAACAGCTTTTATTTATTGAAGTACAAGCAACTAGTTAAGAACACAACCGATAAATCACCTTTGGGTGTAACACACCAGTTTTCTACATTAGATACAGTACAAGATGTAAAATCTGCATAGTTTACCTATTTCAGAGTACATTTTGCGTAGGTCATGCATGACACAGTCCAGGTACAGTTCTCCTGTTCCCATGATCACATGTTCACCCGACTCCTCAACCTGGAAAAAAAATTAGAAGAACAAAAATAAGAAAGATTCAACCTACTAAAAATGATACATTGTATATCAATATTGTCATCAGAATTGGAAAGGAAAGATATTTCGATCCAGTTTTAGCTCATTGAAGAGCTCATCTCCCACTGGTTGTGACAGAGAAGACGGTACGAAGATGTACAGTATTTACAGGTTCATTGTACCGGGGAAATTCCCCTAGCTTTTTTTGACAAGTAGTCCAGAGACAAGGTCACTACGTAAACAACATTTTTTTGTACTTTACCACAGTGCTGGACTACAGTTTGAAGGACACGTATGTGGAAAGTACCACCAGTGCCAGTGTTACCTTAGTAGTGAGTAGAGGGTAGCTCTTGTTGACTTTCCGGAGTCCATCCAACATCTTGGGCAGCTCCGAAGGGTTGACGGGCTCCACCGCGATCTTGATGACGGAACTCGTGTTGAACTTCAGGGAGCGGAAAATGTACGCCTGGCAGAAAACATATCATGTAAATAAACTAGAAAGGTAACATTTGCAATGCAAATGCAAAATGTTTATCTTCACATGGGGAAGGTCTAGAAATTCAAATACATGGTGACCAGCCCCTCCAACGTGGAGAAGAGGAAGAAACAGAGCAAAAACAATTATTATATGTTTTCTTTCTGGGAAGGTTAAAAAAATGACTAATGTTAATTAATTTATATTTGCAGCAGGAGAGGAAAGGAGTCTTAGGGTACTGGGTATATCTAGACATGTAAGTGTATGTGGATTTTTACTTAATGCATTGACTGTTATCACCTATGAAGCATTAAAGAAATTATGACAATAGCTTGTAGTTTGATCCATGGTTCCCAAATTTTGAATGGTGCAGGTAAACCTTGGCTTTCGCAGGTAATTCTCAACGTTACCTGGACCAGTGCTGGTATGCAGAAAAATACATTACGAGCTGTTACCTCGTCGTTGCCCCTGGCCTCGGTGATGGTGGATGTCTTCACGATGGGCTGGTCGACTCCCTCGATCAGGACCCAGTTCCCAGCAGGCACTCTATTCACTTCTACCTTGTACCTGGGTACAGCGGGGGAGAAACAAGAAAACACTGTTATATATGTCTCGATTCTGAACAGCACTCACTCACTCGCTTGCTTGCTCGCTCCCTATCTGGTGTAACACCTGTTGTTCCCTGTCTTCCGAGGGTTAGACTATGTCCTCTATGTCGTACCCAGTGTCTCATGAGAGGACACTTGGGTAATACCTAATCCTAATCCTAGTTCTAATACCTAGCCTGGCAAGATTCTTAATGCTTGTGTCAGTGGGAAAATTATGTACCAAAATGTGGCCACAGGTGGTCCTTATGCAGGGGTGGTCACTTGTACAGATGTATTGCCTTCTAGTGTATATATCACACTTCATAATTTTCCCTTATATTGCAGGATTTTTATTTGAAATCCAGGCCCAGCCCTTTCCCACCTGGCCTCAGAGATCCAGAGCCGCCCACATGTCACCAGTCTGGAGTCTTCCTCATCGTCCAGCGTGTAACTCTCCCCGAGCACGCGGATGTCCTGGTTAGCCAATAATAAACAAACAAACAAACAAACAAACCTGGCCTCAGATATCCACAGCCGTCCGCAGGTGACCAGTCTGGAGTCCTCCTCATCATCCAGTGTGTAACTCTCCCCCAGTACACGGATGTCCTGGTTAGCGTGGATGGTTCCGCTCATGACCCGCCCGAACACCAGGAACTGGGTCGCGTCTTCTGTGGAGTACATCTTAGTGGTGTGGAGCATCAAGGGGCCCTGGGGAAGGGGAGAAAATTACATTAATCAAATTAGGTTTCATTATTTAAATTGGCTGACACATCAGTGAAGGTTAAACATCCAGGTAATAAGATACGTCAAAAAACAGTGACTCAAGCAACTGGATATGATTTTGGCTAAATTGGCTGACATTTGCTACCAGGTGCAAGATGTTTTCCGGCATAAAAAACTAAACAAATAGGTTTTAAGAATTGAATTAATACTATGTGTTACCCAGAATACACATTTGTTAGAATTTGGGCAATTAATTTCAAAACTCAATGAATACATTTTTTACATTGACAATTTGTCAAAACGAGCAAAATTTTAAAACCTCATTTATTGTGGTAATATCATAATATTAATATCTTTACAAGACAGGAGGCGATTTTTATTACATGTAACAAAGTCCTATGTTGTAATGTCTGAATTGACCCCCAACCTTTGACCTGACCTACCTCAGGGTCGCACTCCAACATGGCGTCTCCCAGTTCGTTCTCCAGTGGGCCTGTGTAGGTGTGCTCCACTTTGGTGCGCGCCGCTGCGTACGGGGACTTGATGTGTTCCGCACACATATCAACAAAACCTGCAAACAGGCGGGACAAAATTCAGCAATGCAAAATTGACCTCCTAAAATTTGACCTGACCAACTGACCTCCCAACCCTTGACCTGACCTACCTTGATGTGTTCTGCACACATGTCAACAAATTCAGCAACCAGACAAAATAAAGATAAAACAGTTTTTTTTTTTACCAAAAGTACCTGTAGTAAAAGGTTAAGGTATTTCTTTAGCCTATTTGAGTCTGTGGAGGCTGTAGTATCCACTGTCTCTGTGTAAGGGCAGTGTTATCTACTGTAGTAGAAATTCAGCACCAAGGACAGGACCAATTTGGTAAAGGTAAAGGTAGTCCCAAAGTCTTTTTCAAGCCATAGGACCAGTGGGTTGTTATGCACTGTACAGTTCTGAATAAGTGTGGACTATCCAGAACTGTACCTGAGCATGGTTCTGGATGTACCGAGATCCTTACGTACCTGTGAAGTCTCCAAAGAATCTCCTACAGATGAGCTTCAGCAGTGGTCTGATATTCATCTTCATCTCCTCCTTAGTCAGGTGGACACCCAGCTCCTCAAGGGCACGGGGGAGGGTCGAGTCAACATCACCTACAACCTGGGGAGGGGGGCAAGAACAAACTCTGTCAAGGTCACATCAAAACAGCCTCTCAAGGGCATGGGGGAGGGTGGATTCCACATCTACCACAATCTGGGGGAGGGGGGGTTGCGACAAAGAAACTATCAAGGTCACAGCAAAACAGCTCCTAAAGGGTACGGGGGAGGGGGGCAACACTCTATGTCAAGGTCACAAAAAATCTCCTCAAACAAAGGCATGGGAGAGGGTAGCATCTATGTGTCCTACAACCTGGGGGAAGGGAGCAACAAACAATCTGTAAAGATCACGAAAAAACACATTTACCTGTGCAAAAATCTTGTACAGTGGCTCCAGAATAAACTCCACAAAGCTGCGCTGGGATGTGCTCATGGGTGGCTTCTTGGTGAACTTCCGACTACAAAACAACATAACAAACTTTTTACAAATCATACCAACTGAATGTGACATAAACACAATCTACCCTCTAACACGTTCATGATTTCATTGAAGTATTTAATGATGAAAAAAAAACAAAAGAAAGGTTTTTTCTGTCACCTTTTAGAGTTGAAGTAGATGTCACCCCACAACCTACGAGACAGCTCTTTTGCACTAAAACCACCTGTAACGCATCAAAATATAGTAAATATACATCATACATTTTTAAATGTTAAAACTTATTAATACAAATCAAAGAGAAAAAGATATGAGATTCAATACCTCAATGTGTTTTTGTGAATTTCTTGTTTTATTCATTATTTTGAACATTAAAATTTCACAAAAGTAATAAACTTTCCAAGCAATTTGCCACAAAACAATTTTGCACAATATGTAACAAAATAAACCACATAAATGTTCATGTTAAGAAATCTCACCGTAAGTGTCCTCGTATATTTTAGAGAAGGACTGCAGGGTGAAACAGAACCTGTACTGTGAGCTGGCGAAACACACGTTCCCCATGAGGGGAGACACCACTACAGGCTCACTCTCCTCAGAGTATACACTGGGAGGGGGGAGAGCAAAATTGGGAAACTTCTGTCAACCAAGCAGAAATTTGTGAAATTTGTGAACATAGTAAACATACATTGTACATGATAAGTCCTGTAATGTGTATGTAGGAAAGTACTGTAAATTCATGTATTTTTGCAGTAAATACATTTTGTTAATTTTGTTTACACTACACTACAATGTCTTTCTGGAGTCATAATAAACTACACTGACAATACACTTAGAGCACCTATACTTATTAACCAGATTATCAATAACATTGTGAAAAGAAAAATGAATGGAGTTGAGAAGAATTATAGAAGTTGCTATACATTACACCATACACAATTATTAAGCAATAAGTTATTGTTTACATATTCTCTACCTCAGTAGTCCGTTGATTTCATCCACGATCTGCCTGAGTTTGTAGTAAGCGTCTGTTGGCGGAAGCTTCAGCTCCAGCATGAGCCGGTCAATCTTGTTGATACACACAGTGATGGCCAGCCTCTCCTGGACTGCATGTTTCAGTAGACGCTCTGTGTTCAACATCACCTGACAAGGAAAAAAGGCATGAAAATAAGGAACTTCATGAATTTCTTTCATTTAGCCTCTGTACACTTGAAGAAGCCCACAGGACATTAAACATTGTAATGGTGATCAGGAAAGAAGATGGCCAAGGACCTAGATGGAAGAAAAAAGTCATGGTCTTATGTCTCGCAAGAAGGGATGAAGAGGTTAAGAAGAACACAATGGAAGAAGCCCACAAGGCAAAACTGGTTGTTACAAGCTAAACACAACATTTTTTCCACGGCCTGATGTGTTTCTACTCACCCCTTCAGCTGCATCCACAAACAGCACAACTCCATCACTCAGGCGGTACCCGGCGGTCGCCTCGTCTGAAAAGTTTACATGGCCTGCACAAAAACAACAAAACTACAAATGTAACATTTGCAAAGCAAATGCATAATGTTTACCTTCACATAATCTATTCTGACAAAATACTGCTCTGTTTATTCTTGCTCAAACATATTCATATTATATTAATATGTATATGGTGACCAGCCCCTACAATTCTGTCCTGCAACTTGCTACATAATGTGATCCAACACCAGAGGGTGTCTGCTACAGCACCAGTTACAGAAATTCCTTGGATTAACTGGCTGCAAAAATCAAGAACTGGAAGATTTGATGTTCCCTAACATCAGAAGAGTAGTTTTTTGTCATAACTTCTTTATTCACTGAATAATACCTATCACATTTGACTATTTTCAGGATATGTTTTTTAGTGTTATTTGTGACATATGGTCAAGGGCAGTATCCACAACCCACACATGACTGACCTGGTGAGTCCTAACACATTCATACATAGTGACCAGCCCCTCAAACTCTGTCCGGCAACTTGCTACATACTGTAATCCAACACCATGTTACCATGGAGACAGCTGTCTGGTCCAGGTCATTGACCTTATTTGTTTGGAGAAGGAGAAGAAGGACCAGAGAAAACGATCACACATGTCTGACCTGGTGAGTCCATAACGTTCATGAGATAAGACTTCCCACGGGAGTCAGGCAGGACCAGAGTCACCGGCTGGCTCTTAATGCTCACTCCTCTCTGGGGGGGAAATACAAACAGGAAACATGAAGAATATTGGAAAAACATCTGTGGATATTTCCAATGTTAAAAAAAAGTAAAAAGCTTGCCGGTAGCTACATTGTCAATAGCTGGCTTTTAACTCTCACTCCTCTCTGGGTGGGAAATACAAACAGGAAACGTCAAAATGAAGAATTAGAATGTCAGGATCTTTCCAATGTTTAAAAGAACCTAGACAAATAAAAATCTTGCTGGTAACTATGGCTTAACTTAAACTTTAACTGCAACAGCTTGAATAAACACAACAAGATGTCACCATTTGTAATACTAATAGGGCTAATCTTACTTCTTAGTTTTAAACCTACTTAAGCTTATTTTGCCAACCCAACACCAGCAGACATGAGAAGCTGATATGTCTTACCTCCTGTTCTGTGAAGAGTGTGTCTGTATATCTCAGCTGCAACAAAAACATTCATTGTTACCAACTGCTTATATCATAGGAAGTGCAAGTCCTATTTACTAGTACAAGTGCATTTTGCAATAATTTTGAAAAAAAATGACAGGATAGCAGCTAATTCAAATCAGACACTGAACAAAGTATTCAAATAAATATGATAATACAGAAATTGTGTCCTTGTTTCCAACAACATAATATCTAGCCAGGAATGCCAGGGATCGAACCCGTGACCTCTTGATTCCATATATACCGGTATATAGTCTAGCCCCCCGGCCATTCCATGGCACAATGTATAATTCCTATGTGTGAAGAGTCAGTGAGGTAAAAAGCACCCACCTGTCTGTCCTCTTTAGTGAAGATGTCGGGATGAGTCTGCTCCATCAGACAGTCCACAAAAGTAGTCTGGAAAAAAACAGAATGATCCACCATTCATTTTAGAACCCAAACACACAAACCTAGCAGAAAGTATCACCTACCCAAAACAATACTTTCAGCCCGCCTGTACCCACCTTCCCATGGTGAAGATGCCCAGCTAGAACCACGTTCCTAATCAGCTCTGGATTATCCATCAAGTCAGCAAGGTATCTGCAAGTATGGAAGGTGAGTTTTATCTGTCTTAAGTACAAAAACGTAGCTACTAAACCTTTGAAATTCTAACATTGCTCTACCAATTGTAAACTTGTATATAACAGACTTACAATACATGATCAACTTCACAAAACAAAAGCTTCACTTGATGTAGCTTAAATACTAAACCTTTGAAATTCTAAATTGCTCTATATAAATATATTGCTCTTGTATAAAGCAGTAAAATGTACATGTTCAACTTTCACAAAACAAAAACTCTGTGTGTGACGTATATAACATACTCCATATTGTAGCTGGTCAGTGGCAGCTCCTGTTCAATGTGGGCAAACTTGTTTCTCTTGACGGGCTTGATGATTGGTTCTGTGGAGAGGACAGAAGGTTATAACATGTTAGACTAGATGCTTTATAAAGGACTTAAGCAATGTCTTCCAAACTTTACATCATACATATTTGGAAAAGCAAATTTGCAAAAACGAAGAGTAAGTTCAACTTACCTGTCAATGGTTGAGTATCCTCTTCATGAACTATGGTCTAAAAGATGGCAAATAAAAAATGACATTAAAACACTGACAACTTCAATTAAATATTCAATCAATGATTGAAGAAGCTGGCATTGAGTATTCTATCTTTAAAGAAACAAAAACAATTAAAAACTTCATTTTCAGTGGAAACTCATGTTTTGCAGTTTTCCCTTTCTGTACGGGGGTTTGAATATAATAAAAAGATTTCTTGTTAAACACTGATTAGTGATTTGACTCACCTCTACATCAGCCCCATACACTTCCTCAGCACTCGGGTAGTACTTCTTATCCTCATGTAGGACCACAGCCATGGAGGGCTCCACATCCTGGTCCATAGCTTCATCTGCATCATCTTCATCCTACAGGAAACAAACATGACATCTCAACATGATATACCGTAACACAACATATCTAGGCTCGAAATTATTATAGAAATTTATACTAACTAGAAACCTGCACAAAAATTACCTGCACTGCTCTGCATCAAAAAACACTTGTAGATGAAGTATGTATACGTAGTGTCACCCATATATCCAGGTGGTGCAACTCACTCACTGCAGCATTGCGTTGCTTCATTTTTTTCAGAGAGAGAGCCATGGACACACACATTGACAACACTCATGATCATAGAAAGTTTACGCTTGAAAGTTTTTCATTCTACTACTAGTACATGACTCTGGATGCGATGTCCCACATGGGACATTGTCTAGCAAGTTGAATAAGATAAGATGACTTAACTGCTAACATCAAAAGAACAGACGTTACCTCTCCGTAGTCCTGCGCCCTCCTGATGTGTTCTGCCTCCTCCTCTTCTTCCTCCGACTCATCATCACTGTCCAGCTGTGGACCGATGTAGTTCCCAAACTCATCGTACAGCTCTGTATCCATGGTGATGACTTAAGCCTGCTGGTGAAGTACGTTAATCACATAAAAGTCATGACAATATTGAGTTTCTAACTCATTATCTAATAAGTGAGGACTGATGATGCACTATTTAGGTTAGCGCGCTGGTGTCGTAAGCTGACTGACCGGCTTCGGTGGGGGTTGATTCCTGGCATCCCATCAATCAGGGGTTTTCCTGTTTCTACTCGCTCCCAGTGTTTCATTTTGTATCCTCACTAGATAGCTTTATAACCTATGTACATCATGTATCCCTGCCACCTAACCCTAACGAACCTCAAGCCAAACTATACAATTAGGCCACATAGCTAGTTTAGCAGTCTGAATGTTAAATAAATTATGCTTGCTGTGGTTTAATTAAGATCATCTAAAGTCGCACTGAAACCCGCAAGTGCAGTAGCATGCTTTGTGGATCCAAAACTTCTCTGCCCCCCTCCCCCTTTGGCTACAAAGAACCATCCGAAACTCACACATTTCAAAACGTACACAACGTTTAAACATATCAACACAGGACCTGTATCTATACAGCAGCTCCTTGTACATTTTCATGCCGTTCTTACCTGGAATTTACGGAATTTTCGTGTTTTTCCCGCAGTTTTTGTTCAGCAACACGCGTTGGTCCGACGATGCCTTCCCGCCATGCAGCGCGATAACCTCTGACCGACAAAACTAGGGACAGTACATATACTCTCTAGGAGGGGTATCATAACCTTACTAATGACACAAATTATGAAAAGTCATTCATATAAAAAGTCATGAAAATGATATATGATTAACAATGTTACAATAGAGACACAACATTTGAATTTAATAAAAGTTAAGCACATTCATACATACCAACTACCAATAACGGTTGGTCCCTAATACTAATTGTATTTTGACCCGACAGTCCACATTCCCCATGTGGTCAATGATCACTGCATGTTTGTGATCATGTTTTCATTTTTTCCTCGCGTTTTCGCCGCAACAACAGCCCCTAAATACAGCTGACTACATGTGCGAATGACTGGAAAGGTAGTGTACAACTGTCTGTTCTCGATTTTAGCTTAGTTTCGATGTTATTTCCTTGTATACGTAGAAGTTGGTCTTTACTTATTTACTAGGGTGTCAGAATGTTGACTATCTTTCTGAGTGTTTACTTAATTATTCCAAAGTTTGCGTGATTTTTAAGATGATCGGAAATATTTTGAGGTGAGTTTGTCAGTTTGTTAACCAGTTGTTTTGCGTTTCAACTACATGTAAGTTATGTTTATTGATATCCAAAAACGTGTGTGATACTTGCGTTAGTATTTTATCTTAATATTTTGAGGTTGTAAGTTGTAACCTTCGTATTTCTGGTATTTGGTTCATAGTAGGCAATGTTGATTGAGTATTTCTAGAGACTATATTATGTACAGTACAGGACTACCAGTAGTTAAGCAAATTTAGTTATGCCTTAAATCTAGGTCACAGCTGTTCAATTAAAATTCAATTCAGAAAATGTGTCACATTAAATCTGTGCAAATGTGAAACATTGTACAATCTCAACACTTCACCACATTTTTCTAGCCCGTGAAGTTGAAGCTGTTTTCAATTTTACCTCCTTGATTTTATCTACAAATTGCAAGTTACATCAATACGTGATTATATTTGAAGCCTCCTTGCAACTATGTAACATTAGGATTTTACAGTAGTAATTGTAGTGCCCGACAGTCAAGTAGTAAATTATACTGCTGTGGGGTCCCTGACACTGGGGTTGGCAGTAGTTGACTGGTCTTCACACCATGTTAAATATGTCCAGTGGGTTAACACGGACAAGGCTGCATTCTCTTAAGGGGGGGGGGTCTGCATGGGGGGGTCCCGACAACGCTGTACGCTGAATTCGGAAATCTCTCGATTACGCTTTACGATAAGTTCCAACTGGCTACAACACATTACGTAGAATTAAAATGGCGCATACGCTCTACGCAACATGCATCAATTACACTCTACTTTGAATTAGAGAGGTCAGTCGCTCTACGTAGAATTAAAACGGCCGATTACGCTCTACGGAAAAGGGCTTGCGGTCCCCATAAAGGAATTAGGATTTCCTTGGTCTAACCCGACTTCTGTTGCCTGGCAGCTTTTGTGACGGTGTTAAGTAATAATACTAAAATTAATTCAAAAGTGCCCCATGGATGACTACAGGTTCAGATCTCCTCACTAAGTACAGTAATTAATAATAATGTGCCTTTGTGCACAAACTATAGAGCAGGGTTCAACTGTTTTTTTAATTACATAAATCCACATTCTTATCAGTACCTGGCAGTCAACAGTAACCTGAGAAAGATTGATTTGCTGGAAACAGTAATTAACCTGGGAAACTCAGGATTTGAGAAGTCTTAAGTTTCATACATCATACTGACAACATGTCAAATGCAATCAAAACATGGTTCAGGCAGATGTACACTCCCACAAATACTGTTCATAACTCAATTTGTGCTACTCAAGAGTATTTGGGTGATTGGATGGTGAAAAACGTGCCAGAACAATTGATATACTGGGTACAAAGTTCAAAATCATGTACACGGCGCAGAAAATGTCTGGTTGGTTTGTTAAAACATGAACGCTGCTCTTGAAATATTACATCATGTGTACCACGTTTATTTGCACAGGCTTAACTGTGTAAACAGTATTCTGTAAATATAAGTGTATAGAAATCATTATTAGCAAAATTTAGGGTTGTTCCATATCTGGCCTTTTAATCAGTATTTTGAGGCGTTGTTATTGCAAAATCTACATTAATTTATGACTTGTTTGGCACCAATGACTTAGAGTGAACACAGGATCAAATCTCTAAGGTATGGTTTTAGCTCCAGTGGCACGGCATTCTTAGCTTGACTCGTGTCCTTGTGGAAAAGGCACACAAGTCCAACTTCAAACAGCTTCCCTCACTTCTTTTGTCCTTAATTCTTAAGTCCTTAAAGATCTAATAGCACCTTACTAGTAGTACTTCATTTCATTCTCACTCCACCCAGGTGCATGTGTATATGGGTACTTGACTTTGAATTTGGTTCAGGTCAAGTAAAAAGGTGCATGTTGTAGGAAGGCATGCATCCATGGGCTCCACCTTCTGTTGTTTCGTGTGTGTCTCACTGCTTTATTGACATTCGCCCAGTCAGTGTGTATTTATACATGGGATAGAATTACAGCAAATTTCTCACTGACCGATGTTGTGAATTGTGTTCTTTCACAGTAAGCTTTTCACAGCAGGAAAATTGAATTTGAACCTAAAATGAACGGGGACAAAAACAAGTTGCATGTGTCTGATATAATGGGACACTCGCTACAGAGTGGCATTCAGTTATAAGTAGCAAATTTGCCTTGATAGGGGAAAGTGAAGTACTTGTTGTCACAATCGTTCCACTACAGACAATGGTACTACTGTAAGCGTAACAGTATTTCGTTACACTGAAAATGCATTTGACCTCGCAAGAGTTGCAATTCTTAAAAACAGTCAAAATAATTTTGTTTCCTTAAATTTTACAACAGACAGATCTAAGCCCTGCCCACCTCTGTCAAAACTTAGAAATGCAAAATATGAATGTAGAAAGGCAATATTTGAAGAAATGCAGCCAACTTTTCATTGGGCAAACCACTAATTTCTGTGCTATCATTGGATGAACTGCTATTTTGTGATAGAAAGTCAGGATCGGAGGTCTAAAGACAACAAGCTGTGTACATATAAATCACTGACATGGTTGGACAGTCATGTTTGCTTATGGGTGTAGCTCTGTAGGTGTAGGTGAGCCTACTAGTAGGCCTCTAGTCTTTCACATTCCTTGAATAAATTGTCAGTGACACAGGCCTAGGCTTTAACCAACCGTAACACATAAATTTGTTGTTGTCATGTGGTATACCCAGCACTACAAAGAACACAGGAAGTGTTTGGGAGTAAGTACACCTGCGCTTGAGTGCACTTGAATGAACTTCAACTTCAACGTTTGCCACATGGACTCTCTTGATCTGAGTAACAGCTGTCTTTGTGTGCCACAGGTTGTTGTTGATGTGTTGGGAGAGAGGAGTTAAGGTTAGTTTCACCACGATTAGTTTTTTTGTTTCAGATTACCGGTAAGTTTTGTACAGTAAGTACATGTACAAGCTGTACATGTATAAGGCTGGACGATATTAGTGTAAGGTTTGATCCACCCACACCGGGAAGGACCCCTTAAGCTTAACTCTTTTCAATCAGTGTGGCTTTAACATAAATGGGGTGTGGCTTTCCCAAACACAGGACCTCCATTTACCGACTCCTATCTGAGGGATGTCCCTAACATATAAGCTAGGTACTCATTTCCACCTGAGTGAAGTGAGGACAGTCTTATTACCTTCGCCAAGAATTGGAGAAGGTTATGTTTTCCTGGCCGTGTGTGTGTCGGTGTGTGTGTGTGTCTGTCTGTCTGTCTGTCTGTCAACAGCATAACTCGAGAAAGCTTATATGGATTATCTTGATATTTGGTAGGTGGGTAGGTCTTGATGAGAGCTCGAACTGATTAGATTTTGGGCCCCCTGGCGGCTTGTCATGGTACTGCAGCTGAACTTCCGGTTTTGATATCTCATGATCTAGACAAGCTAGGGTGACGAAATTTGGATGGCAGGTAGCTCTTGTGCTGGGAAAGAAGTGACGTGAGTTTGGGCCCCCTAGCAGCTTGCTCTGGAACTGCAGGGGGGTTTAAAGGACAAATAGTGATGCATACCTAAACCCAATTTCAGGTTCAGGTCCGGATTCAAGTCCAGAGGTTTAGGTTCAGGTCCGGACTTAAGTCCGGACCTAAACCCATGGCATATACAAAATCGCATGTTGGCAACCTTGCAATGTTGTCTGGGTGAAACTTTGGCCACATAACATGGAGGCTGGTACTTGACGATGCCCGATGGCAATGTTTTCTTCATTTTGCAGCAAAGATTTTGGAATCTACGGAAGGTTTTAGGTGGTTTAAAAAGAAAAGGGGTATGTGAAATGGTCTTTTATGGTAATAAGTCCGGACTCGGTTCTTGACTTTTAGGTTTTTTTGGACTTGAACCTAAACATTTTACAAGTCCGGATCCAAGTCCAGTGAACCGGTATGCACCACTAAGGACAAATGTTTAAAGGAGGATAACTCAAGAACCGATTGATGGATCATCATGATTTTTGGTATGTAGGTAGCTTGAGTAATGCTTGACATAATGATATTACAATTATGCAAATATGGATGTAATTTGCATAATTAATGAGGAAATTCTATTAATCAGCTGCATTCCATGATAGGAAGTTCAAGCTTGCGACATATGTTATTAACAACGAGAGAAACACAGGCAGATATCGATTATGCAAATGAAGACATAATTTGCATAATTAATGAGAAAATGTTATAATTGCATAGTGGTAACTGCCTGGAATTTTATACTTGGGGTGTTTGAAGTTTAGTGAAGGTGAACATAATTTAACATAACTTATTCAAATAAGGACCTCATTTGCATAATATATGAGGAAATGCTATAATGACATTCTTTGTTAAAATAAGACTGTTGGTGGAGATTATGATCAACATATAATTCATGCAATTGCGGATCCTATTTGCATAATCAGGGGGATTAATACATTGTATATAAGTTCTTATTCATAAAAGCTAACATCATTTGGCGAAGGTATGAGATCGTGGAACTCTAGTATAATTATAAAGTGCCAAGAGAGTCAATATGGCACACCTTGAAGTTGATTTAGTCCTCTCATGTGCACTAGTGCAGGTGCACTTATCCCCAAATGCTTCCTTTAAGTACTGCGTATATCACATGACAACAAGATTGATGATGGCAGGATTCAAACCCAGGACCTCTCGGTTCTGAACCAAACACTCTACCGATACCCCGCACGACCCCATGTACCACTGTGACTTTAACTTTATTAGGATCCATAAATTAGCTTTATCTCAGCTAACAATGTACCCTTCACTCACTCACACTCACACTCACTATCTGGTTTAGCATCTGTTGTTCCCGACTTCCGAGGGTTAGACGTCCTTGCACTGTAATACTCAGAGGCTTGATGGCAGCCTGACTTGCCTCTGTCCTGTGGGTTGACGTTATGTAGGTTCATGTGGTGGAAGTCCTCCCTTACATTCAATTTGTCAAACCATTAATTTTCTTCTTTGGTTGACCACGAGGGTTTGGGCCATTTTTCACTGTCCAATCTTTGAAGGTGGCTATACCATCTCCCTATATCCTAAAACGTTATGGACTTCAAGCCTAGTTCTTAGCTGTTTAGTTTACTGGCTGTCAGCCAGTGCTGTGGCCGTCGCTAAAGCACATTAATTCTTGTTGTATGTATGTGTTTATAAATATAATGTGTGGAGCACAGCATCTGAGGTGAATTTGCTGCCTTCACGTATGTTGCTGTTGCAAGTTGAAATTCGACTAAAGAAATTTCCCTCATGTTTTATCCGCAGGAGTTCTAAGGAGGCAGGATGCCGCGGCCGTCAGTAAAGCTGCTCGCTGCCGTTGCAGCGGGGGTTGTCGTGTACGCTCTGGTCCATATCGGCTTTGTCACTTTCACTGCAGTCAACACCAAGACTAAACAGGTAAGCAGCACTTATTAATACTTAAGAACTGGTGGACATAAACAAAATAGCAAAGGACCTTGGGGTGAAAGTTTATGTGTTGGTTTACTTCATTATGACCTTGGGATTTATAGTAAATTATACTCTTTTTGATAAGTGTGGTGGGTTTTTTTAACAATTGCTGAGACAATAGCTCTACACAAAACATGAGACCTATATTTGAAGTCTCTGACAGAAGTTACTCATTTGCACCTGAATGAAGTGAGGAAATTCATGTAAATCCTAAAGGGCCTTTCCCAAGGGCACAACAGATTTGAACTCAGAAACTCCTCATTCCTTGGCAAACGCTCAAACCATCATGCCACCTGATGTCACAAGTGGTATTAATAATGGTTCACTTTTCCAGCTAAGACTTTGTTAATATGATCCAATCTGTTGTCCTTCCCCAGGCAGTCCTAGCCAGGAGGAAGTTTGAACTACAGGCAGCAGGAGACTCCGATGTGCCCAGTGGGGATGTGGAGAAACTTCGGGAGATTGCCAGGGTGCTCGGATATCCCAAGTCAGTATTACTGTATAACAAGGCTGCACAGCATACTGTAAATCATATTTGTGGTACTGTTATTTTTCATGGTCACTTCTGTACCACAAATTTACCATTTAACCACAAAAAAATAATTAGCCGACTTTCTATTTCTTCTGCACTTGTATACACATGTATTTCTGCAAACATCTCCATTTTTCTCAGACCGCGAATATACAGTGTAGATAGTAGTAGATAATTTGGCTTCAACTTTTTTTTGGAAGTAGAGGAAGACGAATAGAATTTAACTGGAAGATAAAATTTTCCTGTCCCAGGGTCTCCGTGCAGGGTGACACGATCTCTCAGAAGCTGCTGATTATGGTGAAGCTACTGGAGGAGTATCAAACACTGGGCAGCAGTGAACAGGTGGGTGGGGAGGGGGTGAAGTTAAGCATGTTGGCAGTTCTAAACCTGTAATATATTTAATACTGTGCATAGCTCTTCAACAGAATGTCTTAATACATGTTAGGTTGTATTTAAGGATGACATCCTGTCTATAGTTTTAAAATGTTGTGTCAGAAAAGATATCGCTTGCAACGGCAAAATTCTCAATGCAACATTGACTAAACATCCAAAAGAAACCATGAAAAATCTGTACATGTGACTGTGACTTTACAAATTTTCAACCATGATTTCTTCCCTCAAAGACTTTGTAACCACCTCCCCACAGGTTGCTAAGGACTACCTTCACAAGATAGAAGTGATCATCCACTCAGAAAACCTCCCTCCTCAACAACAGGACAAAAAGACTACAGTTAACTTATCAGAGGGAATCTCAATAGAAACTGACGAAGAAAGAATAAAAAAGGAACAGAAAGATGCAGAAGACAAAAAGAAGGAGCAACCTGCTGATACAAAGGATAAGAAGGAAGAGAAAAAAGAAGATGTAAAAGAGAAGAAAGAAGAAAGTGAAGATTTAAAAATGGCGCTGTCTAAGTTGAGGCCGCCAAAAGATGAGCTACCGGCACTGCCAAGAAAATCGCCTCCACTGAAGGAAGCTACTTTCACCAAAGATTGGGAATTTACTCCTTCTGTAAGTATGAATATGAATTAATGAAACAAAGAGACAAACAAGCATTTTACAATGATTTGTGTTGTGATGACTGATGTTAATTATGATGATGACTGTCAATAAAAAGTGATAATGACAAACATGTAATATAGACAGTAACAGTACTGTAACAGTAACTATCATGACAATTTTTCTTCCTACCATTTACAACAATTGATTGATGATATTACAGCAATACAGCCTCACATGGACATACACATACACAACACACCAGTATTTGAGAGGTATTGCAAGGTGGTCTACACACAACTCTTTAAGGTAATCAACACATGACTGCAGGTACATGTAACGGAGCTTAAGGTGTGTAAGGTAGAAATGGTTTGTAGTACACATTATGCAATATGTTCAATGTAGACACCATTGTTGTTGTTGTTGGATCACATTATGTAGCAAGTGGCAGGACAGAGGTGGAGGGGCTGGTCACCATATAAATTGTATATGAATGTGTTTGAGTAAAAATAAACAGATCAGTAAACTGTTACAGTGTAGTTTCTTGCAATTGGGATAGACCATGTGGAGGTTAACATAATGTAAAACATGTATTTGCTTTGGAAATGTAGTTTCTAGTTACATAATTATATTATATTATAACTGCCTTGAATCTAGAACTGTGTGACGACCATCATGGATAAGGTAGAAGACTCAGAGTGGTTTGGGGAGAGGTACATGGAGAACATCAAGGTTTTCCTGGACAGTGAAGACGTGAACAGTGCAGAACAGTTTAACAAGCTACAACTGTACGGTCTGCCGTTTGGGTTCAGGGCTCAGAAGAGAGAAGGTAAGCTTTAAGAGCTTGTTCCCTTATTTTCTATACATGTTACAGTGTTTTGTACTCTTATATGTTTTGTACTCTAATATAAATATTGACATTATTATATGATTTGTGATTATCATGAGAACAGAAACTGATGAACTTTGTGTAAATAAGTTTTGTTCTTGATTTTGTTGTATATTGATATACATGTACATATTTTGAATAGAAAAAGGGTAAATGTTAGTATCTAACTATAACTTCTGCCTTCAATTTTAGTCCTTTTATAATTTTTTTTTGTATCACAGACTGAGGAGCCGTTAGTATAATATCATATATGAGTGGTAAGAAAATGTGTGTTTGTATAATATTATGTATGATATTTATACACTGCATTCTTATGGACATTTGACAAATTACACAATCATAAACTCATATCTAGTACTATTACAATGTAGCAATAAGCAATGAGTCAGCAGTGTTATAACAATTAACATTGACATTGACATTTTTTTGTGCAGTGCTAGCCCGTCTGCTGAACAACAAGAACTTTACGAACAGCCCCGTGTTCCATGGTGAGAGGAGGGAGTGTATTCGCTGTGCTGTGGTCGGGGCCGGGGGCAGTCTCAACGGTTCTGCACTGGGCAAGGAGATAGATGGACATGACTATGTCTTCAGGTCAGGGTTTTTAGCGACACCTTTTTCTTTAGCCATGTTTTGTATGGCAGGATTAGAAAAAAATAAAATTTAAAAAAGAATCAAGGATTTTTTGGGTGAATCCTGAGCAATATTGTGGTCTTATGGTTACTAATAACATCAAAATTTTGTATGGTTTAAAATGCATGTTATATATGATTGATTCTCTGGATTTGAAAAGAAAGTCACAATGTTTTATCACTAAAAGTCTGACTACTAAAAGGAAACGGTATTCCTTTTTAAGGTTTCTAAACGCTTAACATATACCCATATGCTACAATCACTGTGGTGCGTAGTTGTGTAGTTGTAATTACTATAATACTGAAAGCACTTTGTATATTTTACCTTCTACATTGTACATTGTAATTGCCAACTGATTATATTTGTTTGTTTGTTTGTTTGTCCCTATATAGACTGAACCGTGCCTTGACAGGTGGAAAATACTCCAAAGACATCGGGAACAAGACAGATTTCTACACCTTCTTCCCAGAGTCCAGCTACGGACACCAACTTAAGACTAAAGATGTGAGCAGTTTAATTTAATCATTCGTTATCAAGATCATAACAATTTACTAACTTGTTGACAAGACTTCTTATAATTGTGGAAAGCAAGACTGTGACAGAAATGAATTTGGCTTCCATGATCAACATTTAATGGTTATAATTATAAGTTGTTTAAAAATGATGCCCTAGTTTTATTTAAATTATAAGATAAAAGAAATATTTCATTGTCAGCAATATATTGATTAATATTGTAAGTTATGTTTGCCCCTTATACTTGTTTTGAAATGGGTCTGAAATTCAACAATGATCAAAGTGCTGACTGGAATCCATTATTATATTAGCCAGTCATTCCTGTTTGATCCAGTACCTCTGGTAGGTATGTTAATGTTAAAGTGTTGTTTGTTCTGTTTCAGAATGTGACGTTCATCTTTGCGAGTTTTAAGCAGTATGATATAGACCAGGCCATCGCGATGGTGGAGGGGACAGACATGCCGGACTTCTGCACCAAGAAGGGAGGATGCAGGTGGGAGAGTTTCATTCAGCATAAAGCAAGGCTGAACTGTAATTTTCAACACTTTCAGACTTGCCCAAATTTTCGACTGTACAATAATCGTGTCTTTGTAAATCAGTGAAAGTCCAATTTCTTGTTTCAGTTCAAACTTGCTTCATAATGACTTCTACCAACACAGATGAACTTTCAATATGACATTTCATTCATATTTTAGCCAAAGCAGTTTAATTTCTCGATTCTCAGATTTGCCTGCTTCATTTTTCTCCTGTATATAAATCTGTATTTTATTGAAAACTTGATGGTACATGTACATCATTCAATCTTGCTGTTAAAAATACTACACTGCATTGATATAGGCCCAAAAACAGTCCACAAATCTCACCAAGTCCATCTCTAACTTCCCTCTCCAGAAAGCTGCGGAACCCACACATCCCAGCCAACCAGCTGAAGCTTCTCCACCCAGACTTTATCCGCTACGTTCACGCCCGCTTCCTCAACGCCACGGGCTCACGACCTACGACCGGCGCCATGGTTACCTTCATCGCGATCCAACTGTGTGACGAGGTCAACACGTACGGCTTCGGCTACGATCCAAGGTTTGTGTGTTTGTTTGTTTGTAATCTCATTTAGGCCATAGCATTTTGCTTTCTTGGCTCTCTGATTTTGTTAGAAGAAAATATTAAGGGACAGGGCAAACAAACAGGCCTAGGCATCCTATGATAGCCTTAAATGTTTTAATTGGAGCCATGAAGTAAACATATCGGGTTGGTTTATGATTCAATCATTGAAATGAATACGAAAACTTTTAATTAAACCACTGTATGAATACATGTAGATGGAAAAGCTGTAACTGCTAGCTATGACAAGCACAACTGTTGGGGCTAAATTATGTCATTTTGGAGTTGATATTTTTTTTTGTTTTAAACCAATTGATTAAATTGGTGCGGCCTTTTGGATACCAAATTGTATGCTTAATTAAATCTTCCTGGTGTCCTTGTTTACAATACAATACAAATTACAATACAGAGCTTGACAATGTGTGCCTTTATCCACTTTTCTCCATGCAGGTTCACGATACACTACTATGACAACAAGTTCACAGTCCACACGGCAAAAAGCACTGGTTCACATAACATAGACAACGAGCGCGCTCTGTGGAAGCTGCTGGACAATGTGGGCGTCGTCACCTGGCATCGCAGGGACGAGAAACGGTGACAGAGTGTCCTATCTTGAAAGTTCATCTATGTTGGTAGAAGTCATTATGCAGCAAGATTAATCTGTAATATCCAACACAAGAAATTGGACTCACCCAAATTTTCGACTGTACAACTCCAGTCTTTGTCAAGGAATGAACATTACAACCATCCCTCAACAGAGACGGGGGGCGCCACAGACTTTCTGCAACCTATGATCCACTGCTTACGGAGTCACGTGCGTTATCTGCATGACGTCACAGAAGCGGTGGATTGCTCATTCCTTGACAAAGACTGGAGTTGTACAGTCGAAAATTTGGGTGAGTCCAATTTCTTGTGTTGGAAATTACAGTTGAAACTTGCTGCATAATACAGAGTGTCCTGTAGCACAGAATGGGGGGAATTCTATAATTCTATACATATTAAGGAAATAAAATTGAAAATTGATGTGCAGTGATCAACTTTATGGAAGATGGTACAAAAATGTGGTGTACAATCTTTCTGAGGTTCTTGTTTACTAGGCAATACACAGCAAAGCAAATTACAAGAAATGGTGACAGAATGAACTGTTGCACAGAATGGGTGAATTCTATATTCAATCTTAGGAAAAGAAATTGAAAATTGATATGCAATGATAAAGAAATTCTTTTGGAACAGAAATCCGGAATTCAAGCAGTCAAGTGCCTCTGTTATACTATTGTAATTCCTGATTTTTTTCACTGTACTGTAACGTTCACTGTTTTTGCTGTCAATTCTGTACCAGGAGTAAGTGAATCCCTATCAAATTATGCTTCAAAAATAACAATGGCAATGGTGGACTCTGTTTCCCAACTATTTCAAGACCCCTAGAAGTTTTGAGCATGTTCAAATGTACCAAATCCGAAAATGTTAAATGTATGGCGACATACACTTTCAGGTGAGTACTTTAAAATCCAAACTTATTGATAGCAACAGCAAATCGAGTCATGCACATACTTTAAACAGAAACATACATGATGATGATAGATGGAATTTCTTAATCTTATATATTCAAGTACAATGTAATTAAAAAGAAACTTTTTATTTGGATGGCAAATACTCTTCTCAGCATGTAACAGGTAGACTTGACTTCATGTATGTACAAAATGCATGAGACTTCTCAAGAGATTGAAATTATTTGAAAGGTGAGTTTAACTGATGCAGAAGCATATACAAAGAGTATAATTTTATCGTGTTTTGTTGCACTTGATGTATAAAATCAATTGATATGAATGAAGTAAATATTAGATGAGAATTATGGACAAAATTTGCCGTGCAGTAGAAAAGGAAATTATATATCTGTATGTATTCAAGGATTTGTACCAAATGACACTATGCAGTTTTCCAACAGAGTATTGCTGTGTATGAAATGTAGATAGATTGTTGACATGTCAAATCTTTCTGACTTTTGAATCTTAGCTCAGGTAGATATCAGAATTCTAAATCATGTTGACAATGTCCTATACGTGTGTGTGATTGTACTTATTAATTGAAAAGCTTTTATTTTGAGATTTTTAAAGTTTGTTGACTGCTTGTGAAAGTTTACTTCTCAGTATTGTGTTCTAAAATTTGTGATCTTTAGAGATTGGCACATCTCAGACTGGCAGAATTCTGTGCAATGTTTTTAGATCCGTTCTTGTGTCAAAGATATGGAATTCTGTTATTAACAATTAAACTGTTATGATTGCAAAGGTAGATAGTGTGCTGGTGATATGACACGAACAGAATTGAATGTGTGCCACCTAGCAGTTCACAGAACTGCACACAGTACTTCTCATATACTCAAGCAACCTGAAGGTGGAACCACTGAGGTATACATGTAGTTACTAATAAATAATAGCTTATTACTATTCACTGTTCCCTTCACAGGGTAATTTTACACAGCTACAGGAGAAAAAAAACATTTGTAGGGAAACCAAGATGCAACTATACAAATTGTGCAATAAAAGATTGAGAGACTTTGTATTGTGTGTATTCTAGTTTGTGTTGTCATATTATTGATATGGTTGCCTCCCCCCCCCCCCCAACGGC